TAAAACAGAGCTCAGCAGATCTGAGTTTGAAAACCAATTTAGCTTATTTCTCCTTGCTAATAAATGGAATGTTAGTAATTCTCCTAGACTTCCGATTCCTCACCACATAAAATGGGGCAACTGTCTCTACAGTCATCCCTTCATACATATAGCAAATATTCACCAGCGCTAATTGTGTGCAAGCTACCATGCTGAACATCAGGCACTGAAAGTACCTTAATAACAGTGGGCTCTAGACTTCATGGAGTATACAGCCTAGATTTTAATTTCTACATGCAGCACAGAATCCAAGGGAGTATAAATTTAAAATGTCAAGCACTTAGATATTCGAATGACTTGATTGCTAAGGATCAGAGTTCTTCATAGGTAACTAATTCGATCATTTTCTAACTTTCCCTTCCTTGTTTCCCTCTACTTGATTCTTGTAGATGGAAGCCCTGTTTAATTTTAATCTGTAGACAGTGACTGAGTTCATTTATATATATGTGTTTTATTCAAATGGATATATGAGCATACAATTATGTACACACTTTCATTTCTAGAAAGGATTTGAGGTGGTTAGTTAATTTAAGAACTTATCAGCTGGCTGCTCTTAGCAACAATCTTTAAAATTCTGCCTACTTGGCCAGAACAATTTCTTTAAGGGAATGAAGCATTCAAGGCATTTTAGCTAGCAAATGGAAAATAAATGAGTTTTATCTGGACTTAAATTCAGAAGCTCTTTCATAGGAATTGGGTACTACTTTTAATGGAGAAGATGGTGAATTGAGAATCTGGATAAACCTAGTAGTATTGTGAGATCCCCTTTCCTAGCATCCTTTTGTGCCTACATGGCTGCAACAAACCCAAGAGACCACAAACAAAGGTACCAGGGTCTTGCGGCATTGCTTGGCCTAGACTTCATCTTTAAAATGAATGCCAAAGTCCTAAGGGTCTGCCTGAAGATCATTCAGTTCTACCAAGGGATTTGAACAATGTCTGGACTCTGAGGCTGTCACCAAGATGAAGGCTGGTGTCAGTTTGCAAGCAATAAAAACAAAGCAATTCACTTTCCATTGTTAGAGTACTATGACATATTTTAATAAGGATTTAAACTATCTCACCCAGTATGTGTCTCTGTGGGAGCTTCACATACAGTCATTCTCATTTCCATTCATCCCCTCACTAAGTACCTGTCATAGCACTTCTAGGTTTCAGTCCAAAATTAAGAGTTCATTTATTTGTTTACACAACATTTACTAGGTTTCAGTCCAAAATTAAGAGGTTCATTTATTTGTTTACACAACATTTATTTATTAAGTTCCTCACTGTTACTTATACTCTCATAAAATGCAGTCTAATAGAAATTATATGTAGCTGGAGATATCTTGAAATGAAGTGTCATAGACATCATTATAAAGGCATAAGATAAAAAATTATGAAAACAATCAAAGAAGTTTTAACGCAAAAGGAGGACAGGTCTTTGAAATGGATGCTTAATGAAGCATTAAATAACAAACTTTTCATTCTGTGAGCACAGTAAAATACTGAGTAGGTAGTATTTTGAAATCACTACATTAGTACATATACATTCAAGGGAAGTCCCAGATTCCTTTGTCCCTTATAGTGTTTGAAGTCCTGTGACAATTAGCATAATCTGATGGAAAGAACTCCACAACTCCCTGGAACAGAGAGGATCTGGTGTCCAGGGACACTTTCTAGGATGGGATGACACAAACTGGGTGCTAAAGGATAAGCATGGGTAATGGTAACAATCCTTGGGCTCACTCCTTGGAAAGAGTCCATCGTTGGAAGTCACGGGGCAAGTGCAGAAGGGGATAAATATACTTTTGTAAATTAATACTGTTCTTACTGGCAAGTTGACTTTCTGTATGCAGTAATTAAATAAGGATACAAAGTGGCAGATAATAAGAACTAAAAGAAGTTATACTGACAGTGTTTTGGGACTCTGAATAACCAGACAGTAGTCACCATAAGGACTTGGAACAGTCAATGTGACAGGGTTATTTGCTTGATAGTAGGCATTTGTAGATGTGCCATGTGAACCATCTCATTAATATTTTATGAATGGCATATGAAAACATCTTTAGAGATCATCACAACAGAACTTAGTCTACCATGTATAACAAGGATCTTTAAAAGACCATTATCTATCAGCATGACAGATCCTCAACATTAATGCTCTGAGACTGACAGCTCAGTCACAAGTTTTAGCAGGTTTGTTTGCTCAGACAGGAGGGTAAGGAAATAATCTTGATATTTAGCTATTCAAAAGAGTTTTTACAAAAAACAGAACTACTGCAAGTTTATTTAAGAGCACTCATTATCTCCTAATTTGCTAAAAATTCATTTATATCAGAATAGAACATGCCACACAGTTTTTCCTTAACTGTTTCAGAGAGAAAAGTAAAATAAAACACCATTAATTAAGTGTAAAGAGGACAAATTAATCAGACAACTGTAAATGAAAGTCTAGAGCTTTTCAGATAGATACTTCCTTCGAAGAGCTTTACAATGAAAATATGTATACCAAAGTCAAATGCTTACTTAAAATTAAAGAACACTGTGTTCTGCTTAAGTAAAATAACACATTTTCCTGTTGCAATTTTTAGTCTTAAAACATAGGAATCATCAGCCTGGATATTTATGAATAGAACCAAAAAAATGTATTAGAATTCTGCAAGACTCGAAAGTGAGCTAGGCCTAGTAAATATAGTTCTACAAGGCAATGTCTACACTTTGGTTGTTAATAGAAAGCTGGCTGAACTCAGAATAATTTTACGATTGTATTCTGCCTCATAAGAACCCAGAATATCTAACACTTGGGTGATGTTTACAAAACATTAGAAATTTTCATTTTTCATTGAAAGATATATTGTGTCTACAAATCTTCATAGGAGAGGAAAGGCGGCTTTGACTTAACACATCCTTGTTTTGTCTGTAGGCTTAACATTAGAGGTATAAATGACTGATAAAGGAGGAACACATGAAATTGGTCTGATTGGAATAGGAAGTTACCAAACAAATCTTGAACTCCTGAAGTAAGTTGTAGCAGATTTCTGAGAGGGGCAGGGGAGATGGTTTATCTGGGAAAGTGCTTATCATGAACATCTCAGTTCAGACCCCCAGCACACATGTAAATAGTTAGACATGGTGGCGCACATCTAAATACTAGTGCTAAGGAAGTGGAGATGAGCAGATCCCTGGAGTTCACTTTCCAGCCATTAAAATCCTGCCTCATCAGTAGGATCCAGGTTCAGTGAGACACATTATCTCAAAAAATAAGGTGGAAAGCAATTGAGGAAGACACTTGGCATTGACTGACCTCTGGCATTAACACACATTGCATACATGTATGTGTACACACATGCAGATGAGCACACATCCACCTGAACATACACACACATACAAAAGAATAAAGAATGGAAGAAGCAGCTATACCTCCCAGACCTACCGACAACACACTCTCATCCTATCTATTCCAGTACTTTGTATTACAAGACAGAAGCTGACTCCAGAAGGTTAGAAACCAGAGGGAAGATGAACCCATAACCTGAAATCATTCGGAGCTACTTTTGCTTTTGTTCTCTGAAATGCTCCTCTGTCTTCATTGCAAGGTACAATTTTACTTGAAAGAAATGTGTTATTACAGCTGCTCTTAGCAGATGTGTTTACTTTTTATGTATTCTCTTGAGACTTTGTACCATGGACTCAATACCCTTCCAGATTCAACTAGATAACACTCGCTTGTTTTGATCACATAAATTAGTGTAAGGAACAAGCAACAAGCAATGGCTCCTCTTGCTGCCCTTGGCATTATGCCAGAAATATCTTGGCTGAATGCTTTGTAAGAATGGTCAGACTTTAAGAAATGCTTAGGGTTTGACAAACAAGGAAAAGAGAGACTTTCCCACGAGGTTAGAGTCAGAATCTTGGACTTCTCCTTCAGGGCTGTTGCTACATGCTTTGTGACCTTGGACCAGGCACATGTCATGAAAGCAGAAGTGGAAATAGTTGGAGAGAGGAAAAGGATCAGTAACTGCAAGAAAGTACAAGAGAGAGTGGAGGGGAGGTGGGTTGATGGGATTGAAATACATCATATAATATATGAAAATACCATAATGAAATCCATTTTATATATAATATATACAAAAATATTAAAAATACAAACAAGAAAAGGCATCTACAAACACCCATTCTAGTCCTCATTATTGCTTATTTGGTAACGTGAACAATATCATGGGGAAAAATGGGTTTAAGTCCAATGCTTAAGTATCTCTAATGAAGAGAATTCTCAACTCAATAACCTTTAATTTCTGTATCTCGACACCATAGGTTGCTGTGTTGAGGTGTGAGCATGAGATGAACTTGTTTGAGAGTGATGGTCACATAAAAATGAGAGACATTATTTTAAAATATGAATAAGATCAAGATTGAGGCTTTGTTCTAGTGAGTCAAGTAAAAACATGACAGGGAGGTAAGTTTCATGTGAAATTTTTACTGAAATTCAATTTACTACATTACTGGAAAAATAAAGGTATAGTTTGCATAGCCCTAGTTTTCTATTTCGTTAGAGTGATTTTTTTTTCCTCACAAACTTTTCAAGATAAAAATTTAAAATCTTGTAGCTTTGGAGCATGTCTAGTCTTCCTTCACTCAAAACAGGCATCCGCTTTCTACAATAAACGAGATCATAGCATCCCTGCTCACACTGCTGTAGATAAGAACCTGTCAGCATTTTCATTATAAAACCTTTTCCTTCACTCTGGCTTGAGAGACCAACCATAGCAATTTGCTGGGGAAATAGTTCCAGCAAAGGGCAATGCACATGGCTCAAGCACAGAGAGAAAATGTTTTCATTTCACAGAACTTGAGGAAGGTTTATTTGGGAATCAGCCTGCAGATTCCTAAGGATTATTTCTTTGGGGTGGCCATTTAGCCTTTAAAATAAAGAAAACAAGGATACTGATATTTTTTCTTCTTTTATTATTATTTTTTTAGTTTCTCGGTGTTCACATAATTTCATTGTTAAATCATAGTGAGCTAGTTTGTTTCATCATAGAAACAGTTACTGATATTTTAAACAAAATTTCAAGAATCAGACATTAGGAAAAGAATAGCATGTTTCTGAGCCTGGGCTCATATGGAAGGTGCTATTGAGGATGGAAGCATTTTCTCATAGACTCTGAGAACTAACTATAAGTTATGGAGGATGAGAAAGTTTTACCAGAACTAATTAAAATAGGAAAAATGGAATACATTAAAGATATTATAAATGAAGGTGCCTTGGTAATGCCTCAATGAAGGTGAGTTTAATAGAGTTAATAACTGATCTTGTTCTCAGGCTGAGTTCTCTTATTTCCTGCTACAGAGTCTTATATATAACAGTGGAAAGTCTTCTTTCCAGGCTGTTTCATAGTATGTGAATCCAAATAAAAGTAGACCAAGAGAGAACTACATCTGAGGGAATACTATTTATTTATCTAGTGGATACTCCATTCTGGACTTTGTATTAGTTGTTTTCTAGTTTTATTGGCGTAACAAATCCAATAAGCTTACTTTATCTCTGCTAAACAGATGAGCAAACGAAACTCAGAGATGACAGTGTTCCCCCAAGGTCAGGAAATTAATGGCTCTGTTATACCAGCTCTTATAACCAATCTTGCTTTCTATTGCCTGCTTCCTATCTCTATACTTGCCTCTCAGGAACACACTCAGGCTTCAGACTGAAAGTGTCTGGACTTGGTACAAATGATAGGGTAGAGCATAGGCTAACACTCCCTCCCCAGTTCCTCTCTTTCTCCACTCCTTTTATCCAAGGAAGAAGCATAAATTCTTGTCATATGACTACTTTCTGATCTTACTCTTTTAACATTTCTCCACCACACACAGAAGAATAGTGTTGGACTACAGTGATCAATGATAGATTTGAAACCTGACCCAAATTGTTTCCCTTTGTGATACACTGTTGGGATGATTTTCAAAATCCAGATGAACTTCAGTACCTCCAAAAAGCCTTCTTTAACTGTATTTAAAACTATCGATTCTTTTTCCCTCTTGTTATTTGTAGGAGAGATTCTCAACCTATTGTACTGAAAATAAGCTTGAATTATGATATTAGCTGAACATATAAAAAGATAATAAAAATGATAATTACTAAGAGTTAGTTTCACTCACTCTGTTGTATTTTTTATGTGTGTTTCTTAGCACTGGTTCATCAGCAAAATCTGCAAAATCTGTAAGGTCTCAGGGATAGGTCTATACAATATTGTGATTGAGTACCCCAATTTGTAATGCTAAACATAACATAAATGCTCAAGGGAGAGATATAAACTAAGTATTGAAGAAGTGTATTCATACTCCTTCAGAGAGAGAGAGAGAGAGAGAAAGAGAGAGAGAGAGAGAGAGAGAATATGAGACTAATTGAAGACAGGCGGCCAAGGGAAGTAGTATCTGTTGCCTACTCTAAAATAACAAGTCAATTGGCAGACTAATGGCTGCCATGTTCTTTGAAACTTTATGAAGGTGGCCCCACTAATCAATATTTGATTACGTAATTTGAGATGTAACAGTAATATACTATTAACCCCTGGCATCTGTTACATGATCGGACCAACATTTTAGAGATTCTTATTGTTTTTAGTGTTCTCACTCATCAAATAAAATGACTTAAACCGCTTCAGTATCTTATACAAAACTTTAACAAATCCCTCAAAATACCATATATTTTTTTTGGTCTTTTTGAGACAGGGTCTCCCTGCAGCTCCAGCTGTCCTGGAACTCACTATGTAGACCAGGCTGGCCTTGAACTCACAGAGATCTGCCTGCCTCTACGTCCTGAGTGCTGGGATTAAAGGCGTGCTCCACCACGTATTTTATATTAATGATTATACACATAAATTGATGTTTGAAACATATGTAGCTATTTATAGTTTCCAGTAGCATTTCTCATAATGTTCTTGTTTGACTTAATCATTTCTATTTATATCAGAAAAACAACACTATATCACTATACTTTCAGTAACAATAGTGTATAATAGATTCATAAGTCTGAAAACATATGTACATATAAAATATAAATTGTCATTAAAGTAGCATTGATTTAATTACACTCTGCTAAGTCAAAATTTATGGCTAATCTCTGATTTGTAATAAAGACAAAATAGGCCATGACATGATGAGACAATAACCCTCATAGCAGCAGTGTCCCCACAGTATGGAAATTCAAGTGCATTTATGATTTTTTAGCTTCTCTGTGGAATTTACTAGACAAGAGTAACTTCCTGGTGATGCTATGTCCATGTATCCCATGACAAGTGTTATTGTATAGTGAGGGCGCCATCTAAATCTACTCATTACTGACTCTGTGTATGTATGTCTCTACACTGCAAACACACACACACACACATACACACACGCACATACACACATACACACACACACACACACACACACACACACACACACAAAGGCTAACTTCCATGAGTATGGAGGACAAGTCCTAAGAGCTACAGTGAGCAAGCTAGAGAATTAGAAGAGGCAGTGAGAAGCTCCAGTCCCAAAACAACGACCCCAGAATCAGACAGCTGATGGTAAATGTTCCAATCCAAAAGTCTGCCAGCTTGAAACCCCAAAAGAGCTTAGTTTTTCACTTCAGATCTAAAGGCCAGTTATCCATGTGGTCAGGCAGGAGGATTTCCCTCCCCATTAGACTTTTTGTTCCATACAGGTCCAAATTTAGGGAAGGCAATCTCCTTTACTTGGTTTACCAGCTCAAATTTTATTTTTTATTTTATTTTTTATTTTATTTTATGTTCATGAGTATATTGCCTGCCTGTATGTATTTAAGGGCACCCATGTCATGCAATGCTCACAGACGTCAGAAGAGGGCATTGGATTCCCCTGGAACTGGGGTTACAGACAGTTGTTAGCTTCCATGTGTATGCTGGGAATCAAACCCAGGTTCCATGTAAGAGCATCCAGTGCTCTTAACTGCTAAGTCATCTCTCCAGTTGCCCAATTTAATTTTTAAGCTTATCCAGAAACAACCTTAAAAACACCCCAAACTATATTTGACCAAATATCTGGACATCTCATGGTCTAGTGAAGTTGCCACAGAAAAATTCAGCATCACACAAAGGAAACACACTGAGAACAGACCTCTGGAAATTTGTCAATACAAGAGGGTATCAAAGGTGAACAGTTGAGGTGGATAACACATAACAGAATGCATACCATTTTCCACTCGTTTAATCACTAAGCATTTATGACCACCTGTTATCACTCACTCATTTGGTCAAAAAAATATTTACTGACTGACTTTAACAGAAAAGGCACAGTTCTCTCTTCTGGATCTTTCAAAGGCTATTTTAATGAAATGAAAATGATATAGTACACAGTAAATAGAATTTATAACTGGCTAGCATAATCAAAGTGCGAGACTTACATATTAGTTGCCAGGGGTTATTTATGAGTCCAGAGGTAATTTAGCTCAGGAAGAATTGGGTGATTTTACCTTATAGACTTTAGAACATTAACTGAAAATCCATAAGTGTGTATGAGATGAAAACACCATGAAATGTGGGCACTTTCAGGATCCTAAATTCTGGCTCAATATTCCTTTTCTGAAAGGCTATTTTAATGGCAGAGTAATCATTTACTACCCTATCATTTAATATTTTGGTTTTGTTTTCAATTTTTATATTAATAAAATGTTTGAAAGACCTTCAACTGGCCAGTGTGCATTGTCACCGGTGACACAGCCCAGACAATATACTTGTGTGGGACTCTCAGCTCTGGTTTCAGTCATTAGCTCATTTTTCATTTTCTCTTTCTAGGTCAGGTTTAATCTAGGATTTTGAAGTTGTGAATTATGCAAAGCTCTAGATTCTCCCTGCTGTAGCATTAAAATACTTTAATACTGTCTTGGTAGGTTCAGATATGCCTCTTTTTAGACAGATGGACTTCAGTGCACTTGACTGAACACTATTTTATGTACAATTTGTACCTTCTCAACAGTATGCAAAGTGTTTTTAATAAAATAGAAGAAAAAATTAATAGAAGATTATCACATACCTGGAATTGGGCTAAATGTTTTCATTGTACTATCTCACATAACCCTACAAACGCCCTGCCCACAGGTGCTATTTCTCCTGCTTCTTAGTGATGAAATGTATCACTTTTTTCTTTCCTCACCTTGATTCCCAGAACATCTAGCTCACAGTTAGGAGTCATGACACAGAAAGAATGATACCAAGTTTGAAACTAGGAGACCTGATTGTAGCTACTACTCTGACTTGCTGTGTGACCTCAAGTAAGGCATCTCCTGCCGATATGATTTAGTAACCTCATGTAGAAAACAGGAGTGAAAGTACTATGAAAAATGGTGTTTGGATCAAATTCCTCTCAGAAGAAATAGCTTTAGCTATTTCTACAATGTTACAATAAGGCTCAGTCCTCTGGAAAATGTGCCTTGAATTCAAATTCACCTGTGATCCCAGAAAGATGGAAAATTTACTTACAGTTTAAATGCATTTATAGAAAAGAACCTTCTACGTGAAAGAATATTATTACTATACTGGGAAGAATGTAGGTTCTAGACCTACCTTCAAATTTTAGTTCTGCTACCCAAGAGCTATATGACTTTGAGGATATTATTTAAACTGTGTGCAGTGCCCTTTCCTTAACAATAACATTAGAATAGCTATTGTACCCATCTAAAAGGGTCATTGTAAAAATTGAGGTGGTGTTTGTTAAGCATGTACCATAGGGTCTAGTACATGGTAGGTCAGGTCAGGTCAGAGTGTGTGTGTGTGTGTGTGTGTGTGTGTGTGTTTGAACAGGGACTAATACCTAAATAATATAAGTAGCTGTCTCTTCAATGTATTCATTTTGAACACTTTACAGTTCTTAGATATTAGATATCCTTAAGCTGACACACACACATATAATGAGAAGAATCCCATTAAATTAAAGTCTAATAAAGATTTAATCCTATCAATATGAAAACAAAACAGATTGCCTCATTCATAAATTCATAATATTAAGGGAAATGTGAAAGCTGGA